TTGTACCATGTACCATGGTGCATTTACCTTATACTGCAGTGTACTAGCTCTATCATGATAGCATTTTGGAGCTAACTTGTAGAGTGCGCCGTGTCACCATCTGATATCCAATCTGAGCGATTTAAGTATTCACATGTAGCTAATTAAGCCACCTAACTATTGACATTAATTTCATAACCAAATACATTACCATTTACAAATTGAACACTTGAGTACAAAAAGCCACACTTCTTTCAAGACAAGCACGAGGGTGCCTAAAACCACAAACTAGGTGCCAACAGTATAAGGATTACGTAAACCAACTCATAGAAATATCTCAAACATAATATCGCTATTAAAACCATGAATCCATTAATCATGGGTTATTAGTATAAATTCATCTTAATATTACTATGGTCAATAACAAGTACATAATCAAAGCAATACTCATATTTGTACTAGTATTTTAGCCTCTCAATACAAATTCAATTGTTTTCACATCAATCTAGGCCGAAATACATCAAAATAACATTATAAACTTCATGCAAGTGCAACTAAAAGAATGCATATCTTATGTTGGCAATGTCAAACATCTATATATATATATATATATATCATTAATTACAACTAAAAGAAGAAGACTCTCCTACTCCTTGGCATCTTTTTTCTTCCCTTTGCCCTTAGCAGAGCCTTTACTTATAAAATTGTAACCACAGAGTGAGAACAATATCTTAGTAACCAAATAATCTAATCTATCTATAGGTATGCCAGTAAAGTTCATGAGCATATAAAGTGCCAAAGAAAACGAATAATCAATTAAAGAGCAGAAGAAGCATATTTCATATCTAAATAATGCATGATCTCTTACAACCCCTTTATATCCTTCACGTTTACTTTTGACTAAATCTGTGGGCTAACAATTCAACAAGACTAAGTCGATATGACTAAATTAGCCTAAGCTTACTTATTATGGAAGGCAACCTCAGCCAAAAGTGCATTCACCCATTTTTAGACATAAGATTCCCCCTTTTTGAATCCTTAGGTGACAATATGACCAATCTAACCTAATGGCAGTACTGAGACTTCCAAACTAGAAAGATTAGAATCAAGGCCACCCAAGGTGCCAGTAAGTACCATATGGATTTATAAAAAAAAATTCTCTTTTCCCTTAGGATAAACTCCCACACTTTCACAATGATCATACACAAATTTATTACTTCAAGTGCATTATAGATATCCAACAAGTATATTGGCATCAAATCATGCTTTAGATCATATTTATTCACACTTTCAAACATAAGTCTATTATTGCAAATACATATAACTAAATAAATATTTGCATAAAGGTATAATTTTCAATTAGTTCCTACTTCACATAGATTTTCTAAAAGTATAACATAATGGTTTATATAAATTTCATGATAATATTAGTATATCATTTTGTAAATCTCACAAGAAACCAAACGAGCCAATAAAAGGATTAGATCATCTAGTTATCTTAATCTTTTGTTGTAACATTTTAAGTTTTTAAGTTGGGAATTAGTAATATTTACAAGAGTTTTTTTGGTCAATTTAGATAATTATTGATCAATGATGTTTATAGGAAACTAATATAGTTTCAGGATCCTTGGACGACCTTAAAAGAGAGATAGGTCATATTTGAGCAGGCCATGGCATAGAAGGGAGTTTAAATTTTGGTGGGACTCTCTGTGCTATGAGCCGTGACTAGCATGTCAATTCATCGCAGCACACGTGCAAAATTAACACTTATCAATTCACGAAAAATAGATTGGCATTAGAGAAAGAGAGATATCACAAGGAGGTGACGGGAAATGACTGGTGTCTACTAGGGCACAATATTTAGACCATATTGGGAGCATTCAAGGCTTAATTCATCATTGGGTAAGTTTCACATTCTCTCTTCTCCCTCTTTATGCTAAAATTTCTAACTTATGGTAATAGAGGCTTTGATCTTGGTTCCCTTGGATTTAGATAGAATCTTTTAGCTTATCTAAGATCTTGAGGAGTTAAATCAAGCCTATAACCCTAGATTTATGAGTTTTATGGTGATTTGAAATTTTTATTGAGGGTTTGGATAAACCCTAGGCATAATCTAGAGATTTTGAGACAATATGGGGGATTGGATGAGGATTTTGGCATGTTGAAATTTTAATAGGATGGTTAGAGTATTTGAAAATGGTTGGTGTGGTTAGATAAAAAATTTAGGTATTATAGGTGCTTAAAACCTACTAAATTCGAGATTTATCGAGAGTGATAATTGATAATTAACACTTAATTATGTAGATTAAGTATTGCCCGAGCCTTATCTGTGTATAAAATGTGTGGAGCTAATGTTGAGCCATGATAACCCTTATGTGTCACAAAGGGTTGAGGTAACAAAATAATTTATGTTGATTGATTATATTGCTTAACTATTTGTGAGTAGATAAATATATTTGTTTACATATGTTTCGAAAGCTTGGCATATTGCAAAAGATAATTTACTTCTGCATTAGAAACCACTTTCACAATGGTGAAGAATTTTAAGCCCTGGTGTGAAAAGTATAGTGATTTTTCAAAAATGTGAAATGTATGGCAAGAATGAGCATGATCATGTTAGGGGGTGGGAGTTTACTCGTAGGAAGGAATAGTGAAAGTCTATATGGCAGGTATCTCTTAGTGTCTAGTGAGACATGATGTTGAGATTTTCTCCTTAGTATCAATACGGGATATGATGTTGGAGAGTGACGCTCCTTAACATCAGTGATGCAGTATTGGAGTAACGATAAGTCGACTCATGTGTGATAGTCCAGAAGTAAGAGAGGACATCTTTGGCCAAGTGATCCTATCACCGAAAGTAGCTCAAACCATTGTGGATGTGCACTTAGTCCAAGAGCCTATAGTTTCAATCGGGGTGATATGGTGGCTCGAATGATAGAATAATCATGCTAGTAGTAAATGATTTGTTTATGGAAAAGAGTATGTTGTAATATGTTAAAGTATATTTTAGTACCTATTAGCTTTACTTTCTTATGGTTATGTATGTTAATTAATAGTAGTGAATTATTCTGTTACTAAGATGTTTATCTCACTCCATGGTCATGTTTTTCAGGTAAGGGCTCCGATAAAGGTAAGGGGAAGGAAAGGGCAACTGAAGAGTAAAAAGCATTGTTGTATAGCTCTTTGCTTTCCTTGTTTTGGGTTTATAACGAACATTGCCATTATATGATACCAACTTAGGAACATTACATTATTTTATTATCACTTATATAAGAATATGTGAATTGTATGTACCTTGGCCTAAGGTTGATATTGTTGTGATTAGATGTGTGTGTTTGGCCAAGAAACAATTACCAGTGATACAATTGAAGTGATTTATATGTCAAAATCACTAAATTAATGTGTGTTGAGTTTTATCCATCCTTTTATGTTGTTGTCAATTGGGGTTGGGTGCTCATTTTTAGTATGAATGCTTAATTATGTGATATGATTTATCTGTCATGTTGTGTGTGATCCATTTGAGATGGTCAAAGTAGTTCCGAAGCTAATGACATTTGGTAGTGTGATTTAGACACCTTTGAAAGTGTTTTTGATGTAAAAACAAATCATTTTAGGTTCAGGTGTCTATATTTTAAATGGAGGATTATTTAAGTATGGGACTAGTGCCATTAGTTAGAGGGCTCGATGAGCTTCTTGTGAACACTTAAATAGTTCAATTCGAATGTCAGATGGTAAAACGATATACTCTGAAAGTTTAAAATGTTGTCATAACAGTAATATGCTATCATGATAGTAGGTGCGCGCCACGGCGCATGTGCCTCTCCTGGGACTCATCCCTCTATGCCATCCACCATGGCGGGTGTGTCTTGTGCTGCGGTGGATGAACAAGATTTTGTGAAAAATGGCTTGTTTCAGCTTGTTCTAAAGTGCTATTTGATTTCCATACTTTCATGTGTGTATTTAATTGATTTTTAACTATGGTTTGAGCTCAAACAATATTTTAAAAAAGGTTTTCTTGAAATTCCATTGTTTTAGCTAATTACCTTTTAAACCTTAGGTTATGATAACTTTTACTTGAAATTTTATTTAATCCTGATTATCACAATAGCATGTAAGAGTGTTATCCTGATAATGTCAAGGTGAACATTAAAATTTATCACAAGCCAATAAAAGAATTATTTATATCCAAAATTTTGATTCTTATAAAGCCAATGTGCAATTTAGTGAGAAAATAACAAAGATGTTATTTCTCTCTAATTAAACAAATTCGCAAGGACATGGGGAGGAGAGAATATCTCTAATTTTTAGCTAGGAAAATAAGGCTTCACATTATTATCACTATTAATGGAATTTTAAAATCAATTACCGAGGACATTTTTAGGATATAATTCCTCGCTAAATTTAGTGACCAAGTCATTCCTTGCAAAATCCTAGATAGAAACATTGAATTATGAAGATGGGTAGGCCATGATCAATCATTCAGCAAGAACATATATGAGAGTTCAACTATGCCTTCCTTATGTAATCCTCAGAGGCTTCATACTACATATGATTCTGTAAACATGACTGATGGAAACTTGCAAGTATTTACATTATATCTGAGAAGAAAAAAACCACTAGATATAACCCTTAACATCTTTCACAAAATCGCTGTCTGGAGATTGAAAAGGGCTAGAATAAGCATCAATAAGCATCTTGACAACATCTCTCATGGTAGGGCGCAAAGAAGGGAGCTTCGTGGTGCATTGGATGGCAACCTTCAAGACCTTAATCATTTCATCTTCGACAGATTCAGATGCTATTTTATCATCAAGGATGTTGATAGCACTTTCACGGTCATCCAGATTCGTCATAACCCAATATACAATATCTTTCCCTTCTCCGTAATCCTCTTCAATGGCTTCCCTTCCTGTAAGTAATTCCAGCAACACCACTCCAAAACTATACACATCACTCTTTTCAGTGACTTCACATGTATAAGCCAGCTCTGCAAGAAAGAGAATACAATATCTGTGTTAGGAGTTAATTCCATGATGTTCTGGGAAGTATAGTGCATGTACCTCCAAAAAGAATTTCAGGCCAAAAAAAAAAAAGGAAAGAAAGAAAGAAAGAAAGAAAATAAAGAAAAAAGAAATGACACTTTGTGATTCAGAGTGTTAACCCTTGTACTCTTTGTTCTTATTATAAGGCGCCTTTTAGAAGGATTTTTTGGTCCTTAATACAAAACTCTTGATGGAGTATTAATTATATTTTTTTCAATATTACCCCTATCTAAAATCATTAATTATGAGAAAGAACGTAATGTAAATTTAAAAATTTTTCATTTAAATAGGGGTGAAATTTGAAGATTATTATATTTTCAGATGAGTTAATAACTTAACCACCTCTTATTGGTTTCAATGAGTTAGATATGCGTCATAATAAGAACAAGAGGAAATATACTTCTATTCTAGTTTTTCCTCATAACTACAGTCTACAATCATAGTTTAAACAGGACTTGGGGGGAAAGTTAACTAGCCATATACTATAGTGTTCAGCCATGCCTCTGGAGCACTTGCAGGTCCGTCAAAGAAATTTCAAAAATCACTTCTTTTTGTGCGGAGAGATTTGAAACATTAACATGATCTGTTTAACAAACAACTGAAAGAATGTCTTTTCATTGTCATTTTATTTACATTCAATCATAATTTTAAGACTTGCAGAAATCACAACAACGCAAGTACTGAATTTGCTTAATGTGCATCACTTAACAAGAGTCAAGAAACAAAATTAAGCAATATCGATGTTGATATAAGAAAAGAGATTTCCTTTTCAAGCAATCAACATCAATGTCCAAGTTGAAACATTCTTTTTTTTTTTTTTTTTTTTTTTACGTATAGCTTCCCTAACATTCTTCCTTTAAGCATGATTCTTTGAAAAGAAGAAAGCAATGATCGCATAGCAGATACAGATGTTTCAGAAACAGAGTACCATTTATCTGAGCTAAGAGTTAAAGGAGATTTACTTTGACCCTTTATCAAGAAGCATATTTATTTCCATAGTTATGAACAAATGAATATGACCACCCGTGAAGATGCATAAATCACTATAAAGAGGGAGGTCTTCAGAATAATTTTTAAGTCAATGTTCTCCTATACTAGGACATATTTTTTTATTGCTAAGGTTATCAAAAGTAAAATGAAGTCCATGTCATAAAGTTAGGAGTAAAAATGTTGCCTTCAAGTCTGTCATTTATAAGAAAGTACGTAGATCTCCAAGCAAAAACAGACAGACAAAATGATTCGTGAACCAGAATGAAAAAATGTCATAAAGGTGGAGAAAGAGAAGGTAAAGAGAAAAGAAATCACAATTTTATGCAATCTTTCCCTCAACTTATCTTCTCATTAGATGCAAGTGATGAAAAGAACATGAGAATTGAGTATCCTGATCCAGTGGGACTGAAAAATGAAATTGAATTTGAATTATAAGTAAATAACTCTTGAATGCGGGAAAAAAGTATTATGCAGCAAAGCATACATCAGATTGTGCTATAAATAGGCATGACCAGATTCCACAATTCACATATGATAAACATGCGGCATCATGATAGGAAAAACTTCTAGAGCAAAAACTGAATAATGCTTTTATTGGACAAAAAGCCTTACCAGGAGCAATATAACCATGAGTGCCAGCAAGACAGCTAAAACCCAACTGCTGATCAGTTTTTTCTGCAAATTTTGCGACCCCAAAATCAGCAATTTTTGCCTCATAATCCTCATCAAGCAAAATGTTACTGGATTTTATGTCTCTGTGGATGATAGGTGGAGAACAATCATGATGTAAATAGGCAATTCCTTTTGCGGTGCCCAGTGCAATTTTATATCTCTGGTACCAATCCAATTCTGGTTTCCCACCCTTTATCTGTCTGTGAAGAGCTTGAAAAAGATTACCATTTGGCATGTACTCTAACACTAAATAGTTTGATCCTCCTTTAAACAAAGAAGCATAAAGCTTAAGTATATTTCTATGCCTTATTTTCCCCAAAGTCTCCATCTCTGCCGCCAAAATTTTTACACTATTTCCTTTCCATAGTTGTTTTACAGCCACTGTTGAACGAGTTTTCTTCAAGTTAACTCGATAAACCTTTCCAGTGCCACCAGTTCCAATCAAATTATCTTCATCCAGATTACATATTTCATTCACATCAAGATCAACTTGGTGGAAAGCAGCCATTTTCCATTTTGAATCTGTTTCCTTATGACCTTTTATGTTTTTCTCCAGATCTGCATTTTCATGCTTGAAGCCTCCGTAACTCACAAGCAACACAACCAAAAGTACAACCAAGACAGAAGCAATGGTACAAAGAATTATTATCTTATCAGCGAAGACCTTTTTCGGACCATGTATGCTTGTACAAATGTTGAATTCAGAATTCATAAGAGTTCTTGAATTTTGATCAACACAAAGTCCTGGGTTTCCAACAAAAGCTTCATCACCACCAATAATTAGAAGATTGTTCGGAATTCTCCCAGACAACTGGTTTTTGGAAAAATCAATTGAGCTCAATTTCATTGACACTAAGCTTTCTGGGATCGAGCCTGTAAGTTTGTTGCCAGATAGATTAAGAGAGTTCAATGAGCTCATAAGTGAAACTGACTGCGGGATAGTGCCAGTAAGAAAATTCTGAGCAAAATTCAAGTCTACTAGCCTTGCACAATTACCAAGTTCTGCAGGTATTGATCCAGTTAATGAATTCTCTTCTAGATGAAAAGAGGATAATTGCTTCAGAGCTCCAATTTCAGCTGGTATTTCACCATAGAAATTGTTGTTGCTCAAGTATAGCTTCTCCAAATTCATCAGCTTGCCAAGTTGTGAAGGAAGCTTACCTGAAAACTTGTTCTTCATTAGAACTAACTGACTTAAGCTAGAAGAGAGCCCAATTTTTGGAGATATATCACCATCAAAATTATTGTCAGCTAAATCAATTATCTTTACAAATGGAAGTGCCCAAAGCTCATCTGGAATTTTTCCAGACAAACCATTCCTGCTGACCCTGAATCTCTCCAGTGATTTACAAGTAACATAAGTCTCAGGCAATTCACCTGAGAAATTATTTTGCAAAGCAAGCAAAAATTTCAACATTCTATTTTCACACAAGAACTTTGGAAATTCACCTGAAAATTGATTCTCTGATATATCAATGCTATCCAGTGGTGAAAATCGGCCAAAATTTTCTGGTATTTTCCCAGAGAAGCTGTTTCGATAAATTGAGAATCCAACAAGATGTTGCATATCTCCAAACCCAGCAGGAAGTTCTCCAGAAAAGTTGTTTTCATAGAGTTGAAAAACGACCAAATTCTTCATAGTACCAATCACCTCCGGCAATTTACCATGCATGTGGTTCTTGGAAATGTCAATCTCCTCAAGTTTAGTCAAGTTTGCCAGCTCAGCTGGGATTTGCCCAGTTAAATTGTTTGAGAAAAGCTCAATCTTATAAAGATTTTTCAGCTTCAAAATTGACTTGGAGAGTTTCCCAGAGATCATGTTTCTTGAAATATCCAGTGTCTCCAGAGCCTTCATTTCATAAATTGATTCTGGAATCTCTCCTCGCAAATGAGAACCACCAAGATAGAGCCATGTCAATTTCTTCAGATTGCCAAGAGTCTCAGGAATTTCACTCTCAACATATTCATTTTCCCCGAGCCCCAATGAAACCAGACCAGTCAAATTTCCAACCCAGTTTGGGAAGCTCCCGGAGAAGTAGTTTGCTGAGAGGTCAAGAACTTTGAGATTTCTCATCCCAGACAAGTCTGGAATAGCCCCAACCATGTCATTCTCTGTTAGGTTCAAGACTGTAAGGTTGCTGCAATTGCTTATTTCAAATGGAAGCTTCCCAGAAATAAAATTTGATGCAAGTAACAGAACTCGAAGGCTCTGGAGATCAAAAATTGACGGGAAAATCTCCCCGGAAAGAGACTTATTTTCCAGTGAAATTTCTATGACTTTTCCGGAAAATTTATCACAGGTAATGCCGTGGAATTCACAGGGAGACTCAGAATCTATCCACGAACCCAAAGAATTCAAAGGGTCCTTCAAATGCTTCTTGAACTGAAGGAGAGCCTCTGTTTCTATACTTGCGGACATACATGGCGGGAAAATGATGAACAGAATTGTAAAGAACCGGAAGAAGAAGAAGAAAAGGTGTCTCTTGGCCATTAGGACGAGCAAAATTATCAGTTTCTTCCAAAGCAAAAATAAAGAGAAGAATAATTTGAATGTCTGTGCCGTGGTGAATGACCAACGCACCATTATTGCAAATGGGTCTCCATCCTCCACAGTCGAAATAGCTCAGCAACCAAGAAATGCATTCCCCACATGAATAATGAGAAAATATGCTTGCTAAAGATATGCTTCATTTTTAGTTAAAGATGTGAATTCTCAGTCATTAAAAAAAAAAATTGTAATTCTCAAAGGTTTTAACTCGCACGACCAAGATAAAAAGAATCTTAAAAAATTAATTGCAATGGACCCCACCGCTGGCACAATTTAAATGACATTAGAAAAATTTAAATTTAATTTTTTATTATTTTTTCAAATTAATAAACAAAAGGTTACAAGTACTTTGTACTTTGTAGTTTATTTTATTTAACGATTTAAAATAATAAAGCATCAAATGTTGACATAAAATATGAACCTTTTTTTTTTTGGTCAAATATCAAACATAAACTTAAAATAACCGACAATTAAATAGTGCACCATAAAAATATACTAGTCTTTGGATTATATCAAATTATATAAACCTTTTATTTTTGGTACGTATATGAAATAAATTTTGTCAATAACAAATAATATCTTCTCTAAGGTATTGAGAGTAATGAATAGATTTCTTCACCAAAATTGCTACATAGTATATACACAAGGATTAAGGTTTGAATACTGATTACTTATTTAAGTGACAAAAGCCTCAATCATTTATGCCAATTTTAATTGGTAAATTGTATAAAACTTAATCTTGATATTATTATTAAAAGATTAAGTGATAATTAATAGGCTAAAATATACATTTAGTTCTTTAATTTTACACAACATTTATTTTAGTCTTTTACTTTATAAAATGTCTTTTTAATCTTTAATCCTAACATTATTAGTTTTATGCAACAAATTTTTATAATAAACTTTTAAATATTATCAAAATATTTTTAAATGTTAACATATTAATTTAAGTGTTTTTTAAAATACAATGATTGACATAAAAAATAATAATTTAAAACAAATGATATTAGAGTTAAATGATTAAAAAGATAATTTATAAAATTAAAAAATTGAATTAAAGCTTGATATAAAGTTAAAAGACTTAAAGTATATTTTAACCTAATTAATATATAAACATCTTTTTATTGCTTATATCTATTCTTTTATTAAAGACAATTAATATTTAAAATACAATTAAATATTACATATAGATATATCTTCTAACATATTCATCAAAGTTGTGAGGGATTAATTTTTTTATTAAGTTTATTTGTAATATATAAACATTTCTATTATGAAGGATCCGTATAATCTCTCATTGCATAGACTCTGATGGAGACAAAAGGTGACGTTGAAATGTCAATTCTTGTTTGTTTCTATAGCTGTGGGAATAGTTTAAGTGGACGTAGTGCCATTGCTATAATTCAAATCCAAGAAAAAATATCATGCTTGGAAGTTACTCCTCTCGTTTCCATCATTTTTTTCATAATTGGTTTAATCTACCCAATTTCCTCTTAATAAAAGAACACCTAATTATAGGTTAATTAAAATTTAGAGGAGCATTATTTTTTAATCATTGCAACTAATTAATAACAATCATGGACATTTTGAGAATAATGAAACTTTTGGGAAATAGTTCATTGCATTCTAATTAATCCGTGAGCTTTTCTCAATCTGGAATATGCTGTAACTTTATTTCTGTTTAACATACTTTTGGACTTCTTTCCAGTTCCATCTCGAATAAAAATAGAACAGAATGGATAAAATGTTCTAACAAAAGGAAGATTTGTTTTTTAAATCAAAGTGAATATTTAAACTCAAAAATAATAAATTAAATGGGAAATTTAGTCCAGCACCATTTGTAATCTTAAATTCGTTTTTGATATAATATTTTATTGTGTTAATATATAATTTATACCTTAAACTATAAGTTCAGGAATAATTTAAACCCTAAACTATTATTTAGTACATTCTAAACTTTAAATAATTGAAATTGATATAATTTCATTCCCTGTTAAACTAAAGCAAATTGTTGTTACTTTTTTTAAAAAATAAGACCTAATATGTAATCTTCACCAAATTTTACACACACACTCTCTCTCTCTCTCATCCTTTTTTAAGTAAAATTTACATTAAGCCTCATTTTTTTACCAAATAATGGACATTTGTTTTAATTTTATGGTGGGACAAAATTGCATCGATTTAATTGTTACAGGTTTAAAATGTACTAAATAATAGTTTAGTGTTCAAATTATCTTTGGAACTGTAGTTCAAGGTCCAAATTAGATATTAACCCAATTTTTTAATTTTAAAAATGGTACAGTATGACTCATACTGTTAATAAATGTTAATTTTGACTATTAGTTAATCAACAAATTATAAAAATGACCTCAATTTTTTTTTTGGTAATATTTTGGGTACTTGTATGCAATTTTGGATCCTTTTTTTTTATATGAATTTCTGTAAGTTTTTTTTTGATCAACTAACGTTAAAGTTGCAACATTATATATTTTAAAAAGTTAAAAGAGAATATTATATTAAAAATGAGTATGAAATTCCAAATACTTATGAACTTATAGTTTAAGAGTGAAATTATTCTTTAACCCAAAAATATTTGATAAAGTTAATTTGCCTGGAGAACAATATTAGTGCAGTTTTAGGAATTGTTTCTCTCTTCTTCCGGAAAATTGCTTGATCTGGAGAGTTCAGAGAGAACAAACATTGGGGGCAATGGAGAAGGGATTTTAGCTACTGAAACTAAATGCGGTTTTGCTTGGAAATGAATGAGTTTTCACTTTTCAAGATGAAGAGCATAATGGAATCCTAAAGGGACAAAGTCTGTGAAAGATAGGTAGGAAATGTGAGTGGGAAGTTTCAACGAAGTTAAGAAATCATGGAGAAAGGAAAGAACCCAAGTGGGAGCAGAGTTTGAAACTGAATTTCGGGAGAGAAACCATAGTGGTAGTGGGTGAGGAAAAGGGAAGAGGATGAACCATCCTCTTAAATTCTTTATATTAAATATGTATAGTAAGTAATCAAAGTAATTTAAATAATTTGATTAGACACATATCAAATTTTATATATTTTAATTAATTTTTTAATTATTAGAATTTTTATTATTAATATTTTGCTGTTACTTTTTTCTTGGTTTATTTTTCCATAATCTTAATTCTCTTTTCTCTTTTTTTTTTCTTCTATTAAAGATTTTTTTTTTGTTGGTTTGTCTCCTCACTCCCCCCCTAAATCGGATGGCTCTTAATAGTCAATGCTATGTTAATTTTTTTATATTAAATATGTTTAAAAATTATTTATTTTTATTATAATAGTTTAAATTATTTGATTAGATACATGACAAACTTTATGTATTATTAATTTATTTTTTAATTATTATATGTGAGATTTTTTAATTTCTAATGCATTAAGCAAATTTGCCGGTAGGTAGGGACAGAAAAAAAATATTAAGAAAATTGACGTGGGGGATCAGTTACCCTGAAATCTGTAAAAAGCAAAAGAGAACAAATTAGTAGGAGGAAGGTGATTGCTTAAGTTAAAGAAAATTTCAAAGGCTAGTGTTTGCGTAGGGAAGCGTGAGAGAGCCTTTTGAAGAAGTGTGGGGTCAAGCAGAAATGAAGAGACAACGCTTTTTTACAGACTGGAATTTCTGTCATGTGTGTCCCTCTCTCACCTTCCACGTTTTGATGTCCCCCTTGGAAATAAACTTATGGACCACTAAATGACGTACCATTGTTGCACCAGCTCCGTTCTTCTTCGTCACAATCTATGACCACATTTTTTTTTAGGATAAAGGTGTATTTTGTGCATGTACTTTTCATTGGATAAAGTTGAGTATCTTATATTAATAAATAAAATATTTTGTATTACAAATCATTTTTAAAAAATAATTTATAAAAGAAAGTTATAATTGCTCGTTTTATTTTTCTTATTGTTAAAAAAAAGTAGTTATCACTTAGATTAAGTAATCATGTATATTTACTAACACTTGAACTTCAATTAGCAAAAAATTTGCATGAAAAAAGTTGTAATTGGATGATCTATTCTAGTTTTTGTTAGAAGAAAAATAATCATTGTTTAAACTAAAGTAATTGCTAATATTTATTTTTATTTTAAACTGAAGATATTTTAGTTATTTTATAAAACATTATTAATGTCTGAAAGGTCCTTAGTGACTTGAGAAAAATTATGACCTTTTGCTAGATCTCATTGTCATTTATATATTTTAGGAAATTAAAGTATATTTTTATTCTTGTATTTTTCTTCGATGAGTATTGAGCACCTTATACTGGTAAGTAGGGCATTTTCTCCTAAAATCATTTTTTAGAGAAGCAAAATTCCCCTCTGTTAACATATCACTGAAGGAGAGGGATTTTTGCTCCTCTAAAAAATAGTTTGAAGGAAAAATGTCTAATTTATTAGTACAAGGTGTCTAGGCTCCTTGAAGAAAAGTATATAGGTAAAAATTGTAACACCCTTCCAATTTACAAACTAATTTTTCGCAAATTATTAATTCAACAAATTAATTTTTTTTTCATTGAACCCTTTCATACCCTTATCATGGTAAAAAAATTTCTACCATGATACATCCAAGACAATATACCACAAATCTTAAAATATCTCAAAAAGCAATTAGAGTCATGAGGGACAAACATGATCCTCATAGCATGTTATTTAAATCAGGTCATGAATCAAAAGGGACAGACATAATCCTTTTGGATATATAAATGTGGGACTTAGAAACAACAACCTTCCACCCCTTTTTTTTCATTCCTTCTACCTTCTCTGTTTTTTTTAACACACACATAAAAAAATTATTTATGTATTATATCTTAACTAAATATTGCTTATGTGGTTTTAAATTTAAATTTTTAAATTCATAATTAAATATCTAACCATAATATTATTTTTAAATAACCTCAAATAATATAAATTCCTATTATTATCATTTTTTTCCTCAAAACCTAAATTCCACAATTTCTTTATTATGTAAAAATTAAGATGTTACAAAAATACATTTTAACCCTTATTTTTTAAGACAAGGACAAGCAAAGCTTGGAAGAAAAAAACAAAGTAAAATAACCTAAACTGCATCTACAACCACCCTTAATGAGTCAAAGTTTTTA